TTGTTAAGCTATTATTATTTGTTATTTCTGCGACTTAGCTACCAGCATATTTGCAACAACAGCTATATAATTAACACGTCACGTGAACTTAATAATAATCAAGTAAGACACATACCTTCTCCACGGTGAAAAGCGGTAGTTGAACCGGAAATGTACCAAGGCTCTCCACATTTGTTTCTTTAATTCCTTCTAAATGATACCCTTTAAAATATTTTAACTTTGGCCACTCTGTCACATGTTCCCTTGGGTAGAAACATTTGAGTCTTGGTAGATGCCACAGGCAAAGAGTAGATAAACGAGAAAACACAAATCTAGGAAATGCTTCTTCTCCCCCGAATGCTACGACTTCCTCTATCCCGCAATTGAATAACCTCAACTTTTCAAGTTGCTGAAACTCCATAGCCACTGAAGCTGGAAACATATTTTGGAGGTTCGGACAACCCGAAGCTGTCACGGACTGCAAGTTTCGAAAACTGAGAATACCTCGGGGATCTTTGGTCCACACATGCTTTAATCTTGGTAGATTCTTAATAGTCAATTCTCTTAACAAGGTGTCTAGTACACCGTGTGACTCTTCAATGTTTACTTCTCCGAGTTCAAATATCTCTTCCAGACTGCTACAAGCAAATACCCCCAACACCTCTAGTGATTTGCATAATCTTCCAAGTATATCAGACGAAAAAATAGTCAATAATTTCCCACAATTTCCAATAACCAACCATTTTAGTTTGCAGAATGAATCTTCAGGAGGTTGATGGTGCCATAGGATCCTCAAGTTATCCAATTCAATGATTCTCAATTTTTCCAATAGGGGAAATGCAACCTGCATAAAATTTCAATTAATCAAAATTAATTAGTTGGGGATCAGAATTGATTAACAAAGTTAAAGGCAAAATGCAAGTATTCACATGAAAAAGGGAATTAAAACAAGCAAAAGAATCACCTTCGCGTCAAATAGAGGTGATTTATAAGCATTTTCGTTATTACAAAGTAATAAAGCAACTCATCATGATGATTTTCCAAAGCAATGACATGAAAAATGACTTCACATTATTAATATGACAAAGATAAAAGTCATGTAATTAAAAATCTTTCAAAAGAATGTCTTACAAAGATGTACGTTCAAGCGAAATCATTATCAATGAATCTGTTGGTCCTTGAACCATAATTAGGAGTTAAAAGGGGGCTTAATTAAGTGCAACTTCGCATCCTTTCCTTCATTTTATGGAAGGGGAAACCATCCTAGTTCAATGCAGAAGAGACGTATTTTATCCCTTTTTTTTTTTTTTGGTAAGACTAAATTACAATTAATCCATAAAAGCAAGAGAGTACTGACTTCTGAATTCACTTAGTTTTAGCAAACTAATTAATAAAATCATAAACAAATGTATTTAGTTGACCATAAGTAAATTGATTTATATAGATAGTTGAAGTTGAATAATCCAAATTCGCAAGTACTCCATACAAGCGCAAGAAAAAGCCAAAAATGTGTAGAGAAAAATTCTTCATGAAGAAATTACTGACCTGATCACTGAAAAAGGGCTCGGTGGGAATATCAGTAACTTGCTTGCCAGTCCTTTCTTTACTTCCTCCATCAACTGCCTCCTTCACTTGCACTGTTGAAAATGTTGAAGCAAATGTGACCATCTTTGGACAATCAATTATATGCATCACTGACAAAAATGGAAACTCAAGTCCATAACTTCCCGAACAGAAACTTGTTAAGTTGAAACATGACTCCAGATTAATGTTGCGTAGCAGTGGGAATATCATCTTATTTTCTGGTACCTCCATACCTCCCTCTTCTGTTATTATTTTCTCAATCATTTCACAGTTTTGTACTTCCAACGTTTGGAGAACAACAAGGCTCAATGCCATGGAAGGAGTTAAGACGTATCTCAAGCTACCACAATTACAAATTTTGAGGACATGAAGGCATGTAAAATCCAAGATTTGTTGAGGATTCTTGTTCCATACTTCCATCAACTGAGGAAAATCTGATAGCTTCAACTCTTGTAACCCAACATATCCAACCTAGCAATTTTTATATATTATAAGAATCCAAATAAACTCATAGATAAAAATGGGCCATTAAAATATTGATGTGCATGGGTTGGAAGTAACCCTTGCACTCCATTTTTTCAATAAATTTTTTGCCGTTCAAAAAAAAAAAAAAGGGATAAAAATGAAAAGAAAGAAAAACGAAGCAATAGCTTCATCTTCTGTTTGATGAAAGAAAATTACAGTTTAGAGATAAGGAACATTTATGGTTCAATTCATACCTTTTCTTTGTACAATTGATTTATGGTACTATTCAGCTCAGCCACCGGACGCCCTATATTGTCTTGTTCTGCAAATTGTATTCTCTGCAGGCTTGGAGTCCTCAAGACTCCGTGACAGAAGGTCTCAAACTTGGGACATTGAACCACCATTAGTTCTTCCAACAATGGGAGATTGAATGTGAAATTTGTGGAACAGAAGCTTGCAAGTCTTGTTAAGCACTTGAGTTTCAAGACTTTTAATTTGCTGAAAACAATCACATCTTCTAATCCAACTCCTTCGCCTCCAACTATTTCAGTCAGAAAGTGGCAATATTCTACACTGATACTTCGGAGTTGCACCAGACTTTGGGCTGTTGCAAATGAAAATAAGTTTCTTAACCCTTCACAGCGTCCTACCAACAAAGTGGTGAGATTTCGGAAAGATACTGTAGATTCTGATAAGCTGATCAAACTGTCACAAACCAGCACTTCAAGAGATTTAACATTTTGAACAAGTAAGTCTGATGCTGGGCCTTGTTTCCATATATAGTTAAGCTTAGAAAGTCTATTCAGCCTCAACTTTGTAATACGTAAGTGTCTTCCCACATCTTTTTCCGAACAATCAATGGATGCTACAGGAGGGAACAACTCCATGATATCAGAACAATATATTTGAAGCTTTTGTAAATTGCAGAATCTTTCAAGGAAGAAGATTGGTAAAGCCACTAAATCACCGTGAATACAGTGAACTTCTAGAGATTTAACATTGGAAAAGATGTGTTCTGGTAATTGGAGGTTACATATCATTTCAATGTCATTGCTTGTCAAGGATAGTCTCTCCAATCCAGGAACGACCTGAAAGCCAATCCAACAAAACAAAATAAAAGAATTATTCAAAATTATTAAATGTATTATTGACACGTAACAACTTAAGGTATAATTCCCCGCCCTTGCATGTGGAATGGCGCAGGATGGAGTGGGGAAGAGCAACTTCCGAAGAGGAACATGAACGGGAAATTCTCACTTTTCCTAATATTTTGTATTTTATGTTTTTTTAAATTGCATATAAAGAATAAGGGGCACAAATTCCTATACAATGACTTGGATATATATAAAGAGTAAGGGGCACAAATTCCAATGCAATGACTTGGATATTTCTAACGAATTAATTTTATAGACATTTTTACACTTTTTTAATTTGATTTTTAAAATATTTTTTATTACCAACAATCTTAATAATTTAGTAAGAATTTTTTTTAATTAAAATAAGAGATTATAAATTTTAATAAGATAATATATAACTGAGTTAAGTTAAAGGATAAGAGAGAATTACCTCTTATAATGTAAATTAAAATAAATAAGCACTTTTTAATTTTATAAAACCTTATAAAAACAAATATTTGAATCTTAAAAAAATTAAATTTTATTTAACATGATTATGATTTTTAATTTTTAATTTTTGTTTTCATAAACTTTGTAAATTTTTAAAGTCAAAATTAAAAACCAAAAATGAGTAATTTGTTTAAAACAAATTTCAATGCTAACAATTAAAACTATAAACTTGTTTAAACCTTCTCAACCTAGGGTTTTGAGACTTTATTATGGCTTTCCCCCTTTTCATTCTGTCCGGTCTGTCTTTCTATTTTCCTTTTTATTTAATTTCTTTAATCCCTCAAGTGTTGGCTTAGTTTTTTCCTTTTTCTAGCGTCGTCTAAGTTTTGATTTTGCTTGTTGGGTCTTTGAGTCCTCTTCGATGGTAGTCCTAGCCTGGTGGTCACTAGCAAAAGGCAGTGCTGCTTAACTTCATGTGATGGAGTTTTTGAGGAAGGAGGTGTCGCCGTCTCGGACATGCCTTAAGGAAGGGATGAATTAGTGGATGCATTGGGAAGTAGGTTGTCCTTGTTGACGGAGCAGGAAGTTGGCCTGTACAGAGCTGGGATGGTTTTTATGATGATGGCGAATTCAAAGTACATTCATGATGGTGTGCTAATGCGTTTAAATGCTTGGTGGTGGCAACAGTTGGGAGATGTTGGCCAGAGGCTTAGTGCTGGAGTGAATTTCAGGAAACAAAGGATTGTTAATTTGGCGCAAGTTTTAGTCAAGAATTGCGTTAATTAGAGATTTTTGAAATTTTAATGCTTTGGATGAGGGGTTTTGGTGGTGAATTAGGAAAAGGACTCTTTTAGTTTATATTATTAAAATTTTGGTTATAACTAAGAGTGTTTACTTACTTCATTCAACTTTATTAGACTTAATTTTTAATTTATGACATTTAAATTTAGTTGTTTATTATTATTATTATTATTTTTATTTTTATTATTATTTTAAGAAGAGGTTTAGATAAAGACACAAATTTTGCCATTGTTCCTATTTAAATATTAGGATTTTGCCTTGTTTTGATTGAAATTGCCATTTGCTACATCATTATTGCCATCTAATAACTTCTTAAATAGAAAAAACATAAGATTTGTATCCTTATTTAAGAAAATACAAAAGTTTAACATCTGATTTAAAAAGTTTATATTTTTAAATAAAAAATAATAAAATTTGTACCCTTATCTACGTATTTTCTTTCTTTCTTTTTTGTCTTTATTTATACCTTTTCTTACTTTTCTTTTTTAGAATATCATTTAATGTGCTTATTCTTATTCTTTTTGATATTATTCATGTTTCATAAGTTTAAATTTTCTTTTTAAAAATTTATATTTTTAAACTTTTTTTAACTTTAAAAAAATCTCAAACAGTAAAAACTCAAAAACTTCAAATCCAAACTTTTTATAAACTTCTTTTTTACTCACTTTTTTTATTTTTAAAAGCAATTTTTGAATTTTTCATCTAATAAAAATTTAAATTTATCACTCATAAACAGTACAAAAAAAATAAAAGAGCTTACAAGCTAACCCAAATATGCTCTAAATTTGTATCCCCTACTTAAATTTAGATAGGATTGGAGACAATCACATTGCGAGGTGTACCTCTACTTAAATTTGTAGTAGTTCATTTTTATGAAAGAAATTTCTCCTTTCCACATAAAAAAA